TCCCCTCACAATCTTTCCTCATGGCTGCCCCTTCTCTCCCCTCATGATCTCTCCTCATGGCCTTCTTTCCTCTCATGATCTCCCCTTATGGCTGCCCCTTCTTTTCCATCGCGATCCTCCCTCATGGCCGCCCCTCCTCTCCCGTCATGATCTCCCCTCACAACTGCCCTTGACACCTCATGGCCACCCCTTGTCTCCCCTCATGATATTCCTCATGGCCACCCCTTTGAGACTGGTCCGTGGGGTCTGCAGGCCAGAAAGGTGTAGGGAGCAGCGGGTTCATTGTCAGCCCCATAGTGTGTCTGGAGGCTTCGACTGCTGTGGCTGTGACGTGTGATGAGGCTCCTCTGCAGCCTGGCTCCTCTGCCTTATGCAGCCCCAAGACCTGGGTAAATGCAGACCAGAGGGTGAGCTCTTTTCCTGCTCATGTAGACAAGCAGGTCTTACCTGGTGTTTTGGCTATGATACAGTAATCCGGCGAAGACACTAGGAACGGAAGGAGGGCTTGGCCACGCTTGTGAAGCTGGAATAGGAGGAACATCCAGGGAGTTGGTGGACATAGCGCTAAATGAGGGATATGGCAGGGACTCTGGTGGGGCTGTGCTTCAGGTCCCTGCTGCTGACCTCCCCTGTGGTTTTCTGACTGTGACTGAGGGTTCGATCCCTGTCGAACTGACAGTCCAGAGCGGCTGGCGCTGGGGCAGGAGAAGACAGGAGCTGCTGGAGCCGGGAATTTTGCCAATGAAACACACATGGGGCTGGAACCCAAGTCTCAAACCCCCGATGTTATCCTCTCCCTTCCCCTCTGTGTTTCTTTTTAACTGTTTCTGGAGGTTGAAGGCGCGATTTCTTCCGGCGGTTATCGTTTCACAATACACCAGCGCGCGTCTCTTCAGTACCTTACTCCCGCGGCTCTCCCCACAACGCTGCACACAACAGAACTGCAGCCGTGCGGCCCGCAGGGGTTTCCGCTGTCGCTGGCTGTGTACCTGAGGCGCGGGCCGGCGGGAAGTTTCCTTGCCGGTGCCTGCCCAGGTGAGCGGGGACGGGACTGTCTCGGTCTGGGTGGTTACAAGCAACGGAAGATGCTTTGCTCCTCCCCGACCCTCACCCCAGCTCTTCGGCCGGGACCGGCGGCTGGGGCGGGGCGCGGACACGTGCTGGGGGGGGTGGGCGGTGGTAGTGAGGGGTGGGCGGTGCCTGAGGCAGCGGCGCAGGCGCATCGGCCGGGTCAGGCGGAAGAGCTGGGGCGCCCCGAGCGCCCGCCGGGCCGGGCCGGGCTTAAAGAGCGGCGGGGCGGTGGCGCGGGTAAGCTGCACTACGCTCGTTCCTCCGTACCTCCTTAGCTCCCTTCCTCCCTCCGGCTCTGGCGCGCTGTCGCGGGGTTCTTCGTGTCCATTTTTTTTTTCTTTTGCTCTCGCCGGTTATTTCTTTTAATTATTTTTATTTTTAATCATTAATCTCGCCCGGGCTGAGCGCGGCGCGAAGGCGGCTCCCTTCTCTGTCCGTGTGCGCACACGCGGAGTGGGGGTGGAACGAGAGTAGCCGGTGCTAGCCCCGGTCCGGCCCTGCTCGGTCGCCCGCCCGCGGCCTCCTCACAGCGCGCCGCCCGCTGCCGGCAGCACTTGGCAGTCGGTAGTGCCGGGGCTGTGGCCTGCGGTGCGCTGAGGAGAGGGACGGGTGGACAGGCAGGAGGCTGACTTGTCTGTCTGCCTGTCTGTGAGTCAGCTCGGGCTGAGCGGGCGGCCCGAGAGCGGTGTTTTCCTCGCTGCATGGAGCTCGGGGCCGCCGGTGATGCGGTGCCCGCCGCTGGGGTTGGCGGAGCGGCCTGAGCCCCCCGTCCGCCGGAGGCGAGCATGTCTAGTGAGCGGCTTAACAGGACAGCGGTGACGGATGCGCGGTTAAAAGACCTGTTGTTGGAAAGAGGTACCCGCTCGTTCGTCCGGCGTGCCTGCGCGCTGGGGCTCCTGCCAACTCCGGCCCCGGGATACCGGGGCGACACCCGGTAACTTACAGCCCAGCCCGCTGGAAGAGCGCTCCCTGCAGAGCAGCCTACCTGGGGCTCCGGGCGGGACGGGGGTCGTGTGTGCTCGGGAGGGTTCGGGTGACCGTGCGGGCACTTTTGTGGCTGTTGGTAGCGTTATAAATCTTTTCTTTTTTTTTTGTACTCCTCTGTGAAGGTGTTTTCATGCAATATGTAGCTGTCTCTTTGGTTTTGTGCGTTTGCCATAAAAAAGTATTCTCCTGGGAGAAGAAAAACGGTGTTCTAAATATTATTTCCTGTGTGTGAAGAAACAGGTGTGAGTGTGAAAGAGATTTGGGGAGGTAAAAACATATACTTTCTCTTCCCAAAGCTCCTTCCCCCACCCCCCGCCTCTTTCCCAGTTAATTTATAGGAAAAGCGGGGAGGAGGAGATGCCTGTTAGGAAGGTGGTATCGAGGGCCCTTTACACCCAGCAGCAGGGCAGGAGGTGAGCCGGCGGCCGGCGTGACCCCAGTCTGTGTCAGTAGCTGCCAGCGACTTTTCAGATTGCTCTGAGCAGTGCCAGCGAATAGAGGTCGTTGCTGCTCTTGTCTCTTTGTTTTTCCTGTTAATAACCTAATGAGTAGCAGGAGGGCTGGTCAGGGGAAAGGAGAGATTAAAAATTACTTTCCTTTTTCCTTTCCCCTTGCTTTTTAGTGGGAAAATTCACTTGAACGTCCGTAGGGTGTTTTATTGTTTAATTGGAAAATCCTCTGTGCTCACACCTATGTGCTATGGTTTTAATTTTCTTTTGTAGCTGTGCTTTAGTGAAACGTTTCCAAGGGATTACCCCCTCCCAGGGGAATGCTCACACTCGAAGTCACTTATTTCAAAAGGAGAGGTACTGTTCCCTGCCACTGAAATGCTGGGGCCGTGATAAATTTAGAAGACTCTGCCCTTGGCAGATAGAGAAGTAACATGTCATTCCAGTGATCTCTGCATTCTAGGAAAGCCTAAATCAACATTGCTTGTTTAGCATGTTGCCCTTTAGCAACAGTCTCTCAATTTCGAGTGTAAAGTATTACATGGACTCTCCCCCAAAAAAAGTTTTAGGTAAAGAAGCCCCTTATGCTCAGTAACTGCAGAATGTTAATTGCAGCAGTTGTCAGCTGTGTCAAGTCTGTATTCTGTGTTTCTGAGCCAAAGAAAAATTACTTAAACTTGGCTTTGGTGGGTTTGTTTTTTAATTATTTCTATGCTTTCTGCTTTTTGATCTGTTGGTGTGGACATTGTTAGCTTCCAGTGATGCAAGAGAGGGGGAGGAAAAAAAAGAGGTATTACTGCACTGCATGTGGGGTTGATAGCAAAGGCAGGGCAAAGCACTGACTATCGAATGTTTTGAAAATGCGGGTGATCTTAATGATGAGTGTATGGTACTTAACAGCAAAGAGAAATTAAATGGTAGATGTGTTTTTGCCCTTTACTTTCTCCTTAGCCTTAAAAAAGGTTTAGTTTATTCCTGAGACAATTGCAGAGCCTCAATACTTAGTGGTGTCCCTGTGCCCACTGGTAACTTGTGACAAGCAGCTGGTCCTCTGCAACAGCCTCCAGTGGACACCTGCACACTGCAGTGCCTGTAGCATGGGTTTTGTTCGCAAGAGATCTTAGAATAATGGAACAGCCTTGTGTTTCTTTTAGTTCCACTGCAGGCCACTTTGGGTTTTTATGTGTGAACAGCATTTTCCTAGCTCAGCTTCATAGCTGTGTTCGTGTAAGTGTACTGCTGTTACATAGAAGGCTGAAGATGACTGCAGCTGAAAGAGATAAGGGGAGAGGGGAGCTTGTTTTCTCCAGTATTTGCTTTGTCTCTTTATATTTTGTTATCTTTCTTTCCTCATCTGCTTTTAAAAAACAAATTTAATACTGGCTCTCTCAGTTCCTGTTTCGGTGCCCAAAAGTAGTGAGTGACTTTCTTGGAAAGTGCTGAAACTGAGCAACTTGTGCTGCTGCTTTGCTTTTTCTACCAGCCTAGCAACCAAAGGTGACTTCCCATTTGCTGGAGTTGTCTTTCAAGATGAGAGCATCCCCTGTGAGCAATGCAGTTTCCATAGAAATATCAGGAACTGTGTAGCTCCAAAGGGCAGTTTCTCCACTTACATTGCTCGTGCTTTCTGCTCCTGTATAGCAGAAGGGGTGCAAGTGTGACTTATTTCTAAATATACTTAATATTTATGGTATAGGCAGGACTTCTGATAAGGTAATAGCCTCTGATGTTCATTGTAATTTTATCTCTTGCAACAGCCAGGGTCCAGGTTTCATTTTAACTGTAGTTGAGCATATATTGTTTAAAGTACCAGTTCTCTTCTAATTTTTACCTGAATGGGAATATCCTAGAAAAGTTAATTTCACTCTGGTTGGAGAGGAGTGATTGAAAAAGACATTGCATGTGAATTCAATAGGAAAAAAACCTTGTGCTCCACGTGATATAAGTAGCTTTCATGCTGTTTAGCTGTTAAAAAAAAATAAGGATAGTTTACTATATACAGTGTCCTGATTTCTTTCTGCATGGCCCCTGCTTTGAAGCACCTGGAGGCCTCTGGACTCTATTGGCATTGCAGGTGGCTATTAAACTAGAGTGAGTTTCATATGTGGTGTTCCTTGTTTTTTTGCCGGGTTTTTTTTGGTTGCTCCCCCTTCCCTCCCTCCCCCCCTGTGAAACTGTTGTATTATCCAGAAGGCTTTTCTGAAGTGTTTCTGCTGAAGAGTTTGTTGTCTGTGAAGGCTGCAGAGAAGGATCACCAAGAAGTTCCTTGGCTGTCACCTGCAGCTGTTTATACTGACTGACTGGCACTGGCCAAAACTGAAACAATTTTCATATGTTTTAGAACAGTGTGCTTCACAAAACTTTGTGAAATGAACAGCAGTAGGACCTTGCTCCAGATCAGTCTTGAGGACATACTGAGGGTTTTTCAAATTACTGTTTTGATGGGCAACGTTCTGTGTGTGATTGACATTTTCCTTTTTTTCTTTGTTTTAGCTGAACTGGAGTTTGTTCAAATCATCATTATAATTGTGGTTATAACTGTTATGGTGGTAGTGATCATCTGCTTGTTGAACCATTACAAACTCTCGACACGCTCCTTTATCAGTCGACAGAGCCAAAGCAGAAGACAGGAAGAAACTTTGCAGACGGTGAGTATGAGCCCTTTGTACCAACTTCCTTCTCCTTGTGCTGTATGGTCTGCAGCATGGCTTCCTGAGGAGCTCTGGTACAGGCAAGTGTTGGCAAAACTTCTGATGTCACTTTTTAATACTTGCTATAGTTGGGTCATTTACTGAGGTTGTATTTTTCAGTAGGAAAAAAGACTCTGAAATAAATTCAAGATACACTGTCTTATTTTTAGAGTCTTCTGTTTTATGTAGCCTGTTTTCATTATATGTTTGGAGGCTTGTATGTGACATCCTGTTTGCTGCTGTTGTAATTTGAAGGGGAGTGGGAGGGGAATTAATGGTGATCACCTGAGGTATAAAGATTTGACATATATATTGTGACTTTTCATATACTTACTCATATCCTGGAGTTTTATTAGTGCTACTGTTTTGTGAAGCTACACTAACTCTTCGCTGGATCCAAACTGGCTGAGTAAGGGCCCAGGAAAATATAATGTTTGGTTTTTTTCACTCAGACAGTAAGAAAATACTAGGAAAATGATCCCTCCAAGGATGTGGAGTGGTTAAGATGTGTTGTTACAGAGCCAAAGGCTTAAGACCAAATCTCAGTTGAGACTTAAACCTGTCTTTAGTCAACCTAACAGTAAATGGGCATGTTACTTGCCTTGTGAGTAACCCAGGTGTTTACTGGGTAGGATGCACTGCTCCCATGTGAGGGTTAACCCGCAGGGGTGTCCCTGACCTTGGGACATACTTCCAAAGCCATGGATGTTGCAGGGAGGTCTTTTTTCCTGATGTGCTTTTTGATGTCCTTGAAGTGATGCCTTTGGCTCTTTGCTGACTGTGATGGCCAAGGGGCCATTTGTGAGGGGAGGCTTTTGATGCATTAAATTAGTGGCAACAGCTTTGGGTTCACAGCTTTATTTCATTTCCCCCATCAAAAAAAATTGTCTGATTGTAACTGAAAGGTGTGGGTACCATAATGGCTTACACTAGTTGCAAGTCCACGCAGTCTCACCTTTATGTCACAGTCCCGTGCTTCCTCCTCTTTTTTGCTCCTTAGGAAGTTGCTAAGATCATGTTGTGAGGCCTCAGGGACAATCTGGCTGAACACTAATTGCCTTTTTTTTTTTCAGTTAGATTTCAGCCAGATCAGGGAGCAAAGTGCTGGGGCAGGGGAGGGAGTGCTGGCAGGGGAGGAGCCAGGAGTGCTGGAGCCGGGGCTAGACCTCTGGCAACTGGCAGCTCCCTCCTGAAAACCAGCTATAAAACGTGATGAATGCAGGACTCCCAAAGCTGTCACTTAGCACATCACCTGCACCCTCTTGCTGCAGTTGAGCAGCTCTTATGTCAGAGGCTGCACAGAGAGAAAAGGAGCTCAGGGGTAGGTTGCCTCATTTCCTAGTGCTTTGGTAGCACAGGAATTTTTAGCTCTAATTTGGTTACAGATGGAACTGGAACTTGTCAAACCTTAACCTTGTGGACTTCAGGGCTGGAAAAATTGCATAGATTAATTTGGATGATGCTTTGAAATGGACACTGTAATTAAAGAACCGCACTCCTGTCTGAAAAATGTTAGCTATAATTGCTACAAGTACCTAAAATGAAATAATTTGAGATAAAGGAAATGCATTTTCATCCTCAAATCTTTTAAAACTGCAGTAAGCTGTCAAATGCGTGAAGTAACCCATTATTTCCTTTGTATGGTTCGTTAGTATTGTCTGTCATCAGACCAAGTGATGCCTTTTCTCTTGGACACAAGAGAGGAAACATCATCTTCTTGTGAAGAACATGCAGTTTGGCAGTGGGGAGTTAAGAACTGCTTTACTGTCCAGAATTGCTCTTTATTAATTTTTAAAACACTGACTCAGTTTCAGTTTGATGGTGTCATTGTAAGTAATGATAATCATAGCCATGTGAGCACTTCATGGGAATTGATTATTGGCTGGCAGTAACTAGTTACTAATTCTTCCAAAAACTCTGATGTAGGTTTGTTATCAGTTATTACTCATGTGGATTTCTGATAAACTGAAGCTGTTCTTAAAAGGTCATGTTTGTGGGGAACAGGACTTCAGAGGTTTCTGAGGTTAGATGGCAAATATATTTGAATTTTTCTTTGTCTCAGGTGTTAAAGGAAATTCTGATAGAAACTGGTTGTGTGCTATTTGCAGTGCAGACCTTAAAAGCAGTGTGTGGTGCATGAGGATATTAAAACTAAAGCATTTGCTCTGTCATGTGAAACTGGAAAGGATCCGTCTGTTCTCACTGTCCATGGCAGCATGAGGCAAGTAGTGTGAACAGTGAGGTTTGGGTTAGATTATACACTTCAAAAATATATTTCTATTTTAACCACGCAGGTCTTGTTCTGTGTGCAAATGCAATCGATAAATGGGTACTCTTCCAAGGCATTTTTTTTTTAATAGTATACAGAGTCTGAAAACAGATTTAAGTGTTTATTAACTACTAAGGTCTGAAGAAAAAATTCTGACTCAGGCCTTCTGCTGGAGGAGAAATAAGGAATGGAAATAGAGAAAATTCAGCCATATTTCTTAAAGTGGTAAAGCAAATTAATTGACTGTTGGCTAGTTCCTGTAGTGAACTATGGAGTGAGCCCCCCTTCACATAACTGGGGTAGCAGAAGTGTATCAAGATACAGAACAATGCCTTTCCTATTCAGATGGGCCTTTTTTTTTTGTCCTTTTGTTACCTTCAATTTTCCTTCAAGCCTGTCCTATTTCTAGATTATAAAGCCTTCCAACAGCTGAGCTGTGGCTGAATTACACAGATTTCTGGCCTCATAAAGACCAACTATTGAACAGATGATATCTCTTATTCTGGTTCTTCTAGAAAGTGCAATATAAATGAACAGATAAATTATCTACGGCCTTTATTGCCAACCTCACACCTGTAAAATGCATGTGATCAGGCTGCAAAATAATGAAATAAAAAGTATTTGTGTGTTCTTTGTCTGGGTCAACTTCCTTTATGTTAAACCCAACCAACCAATCAAAAAAACCCCAGCCAACAACACCACCAAAAAATCCTGGAAATTGAAATTTTCATTGTCTTCCAAGTCCGGAAGTTTGGGTATTAGAGGATATCACTGCATTCACAAGTGTTAGGAACTTAATGAGCTTCTGGTGGCCCTAAATTCATTCCTTCTCCCAACCCTGGTGGCTGCTGTCTGTCTTTTTCACCTATAAAGTGGGTATTGAAGGAGTACTGAACACTTGGAATGCCCCAGGCTCACTCCTGGCAGCGAAGTCTGTGCCAGTTATCACACAAGATGCTTGCCCCGACCAGCCCCTGCCTCTCAGCCCCAAAGGCAGCATTGTTGCTAGGGCTAGTCAGCTTGCACTAGGACCTGCTTTGGTAGTGTCCATGTAGAATGCTGAGTTCTAGGAGCACAGCTAGGAAAATACTCCCGTTTCCTGGAACAGCTGTTTCAGAATAAAAGGATGTAATGTCAGGAGGGCGTCAGAAAATACTCAATAATATTGACAACTCCAGGGATTTGTTGGCGATTTCAAATGTTAGTCTTGCCTCTTGGCCTTTTAAATTATTCCCCTCTGGTGTTGGCATTATTCCTTCTGTTCCCTGCTGGCATCCCTGGGCCACTTATTCTCATTTGCTACTGACATGTGCAGAAGAAAGAAAATCCCACTGGGAACGAGAACCCGGGGTGAATATGAGTGCTGTAGACCACCCTGATTTGCCAAATCTTTCTTTGGTGCCAGACACTGGTCGGCAAGAGCTGGATGTGCACTGTTCTCCCACTGTCTGCATGAGGGATATGGGCTTGCCTTTCCACAGGGAGTGCTGCCAGGAGGGACAGTGCGTCCTGGCTGCTGGTCTTTGAAGTCTACCACAATAAAGCTAGAGCATCTTTAAGAAGGGCAGGATTGTCTAGGAAATCCAGAGTTAGGACTAGAAGCAAGGAATGCCAGCTTTGAGTGGCTCCTGACTCAGTGTGTCTCCTTGGGCAACTTGCTTCATCTCCAAACAAAGGAGGAAGGATAATAGCACTTATTTCCTTCACTGGGATGAAATTAAGATTACTTAAAGCAGTAAAGTGCTGTGAAGTTGAGGAAATAAAACTTTTAAAGCATTAAGTAAGAGAAATAATTGCTTTAAGCATAGGGAGGTGCACTACATGTGAGAAGTTTGGCGCTCTTCATAATTACATCTCTAATACTTCTCCTTGTTACTGTATAGGGCTGTGCCAGACACTGTAACCTTTCCTTCCCTTGGGGAAACACAGCTTTTAAAGGAAGGAGTGGTCCTGCCGGAATACTTGTCATTCTGTTGGGGACAGCACAATAGTTTGTTTGGGTAGGAAAGTGTTGCATCTTCAGAGCTGTGGTGGTCTGTATCAGCCGGGAAGAGGCAGGGAGGCCCATTTGCCTTCCCTGAACATTTTTAGCAAGCCACTGTTTTAATGTGGTGTAAGGTACCACCTAGGGCCAAAATCAGAAACTACACTGCTGTCTGAAACCTCATTTGCAAAAGAAGTGTGTGTATTTTTGTGTGTGCTTATATATACACATATGAAAAATAATAAAATAAAAATCTGAATATAATTGAAGAGAAGAGAGGGACCTTCTTAATCTTTCCAGTGAAATCTTTCCAGGTGGAAACCTGACTTTTATTCTCAGGAAATAAAATTTCAGGCAGAGTTCTAATTCTCAGAAACTTGGAAGTGTATGAAAAGCCAAGAATCTCCTTAAGAGTCAGTAAAAAAAAAATTTGGGTTATACAAGGTTGTTGTGGTTTAACCCCAGCTGGTAACTAGGAACCAAACTGCTGCTTGCTTCCAGCAGGATGGGGGAGAGAATCAGAATGGTGAAAGTGAGGAAACTTGTGTGTTGAGATAAAGACAGTTCAATGGGTAAAGCAAACCTGTGTATGCAAGCAAAGCAAGCCAAGGAATTCATTCATCATGCCCCATGATCAGGTAGGTGTTCAGCCGTACCCCAGCAAACCTGGGGACTGCGGAGAAGCTGTGTCCCTCCCAGCCTGCTCACTAGTGGGGTGGTGCGAGGAGCAGAAAAGGCCTTGGCTCTGTGTAAGCGCTGATGAAAACATCTCTGCATTATCAGTACTACTTTCAGCACAGATCCAGAATGTAGTCCGATGTTAGCTACTATGAAGAACATTAACTCTATCTCAGCTAAAACCAGCACAGTGGATGTTTTTCTTTATTACAGTTTGAGGAATTTTTCTTACTGAGCATAAATTTTTACCTGTAACTTATCCTGAGTTAAAAATTCTTCTTCCTGCCTGCTGTCTGTCAATATCCTGATGATCAGCTGCAGTAGCTGGATTATACTGCATGCTTCAAGAAGCACTGTGTTTAAAATTGCCCTCAAAAAGTGATCTTTCTAAACTGTTTAATTCTAGAGACTGTAAACCTTTGTAAAATAGAAATTAGGCAAATTATGTTAGGTTTATCCAGTCTCCTAAGCTCTAAATATTGAACTAAATAATCACCATAAGATAATTCACCATAAGATAATTAAATAATCACCCAACTGGATTTATTAAATGACATTATTTAAAAAACTAATCACAAAATTAATTTCTGTAAATTATTGTGAAACCCAGCAATGGCAAAGGTTAGCAAAAGACATAGCTGGATCCCTAAGATTTTTCTTGCTTTGTAGGAGCTAGGATTTACCATGGAGATGGTTTCTTTTTAACTCCCCAAACCTAACACTGTTAAAAATAAATACAGTATAGGGGATTAATGTATAAGCTTTCTCTTCCTGTTACTTTTAAGTACTGAAGCTTACACCTGAAGACCCTTAGCCTCTTTAAGAAGGGGTGAGTTGAAGCGGCTAGCTATTGAAAACCTATAAGAAACAGGGAAATTATATATTGTCCACAAAAAAAAAGAAACAAACACCAAAAAAAAACCCAAAACAGGTAAATTGCATTTCCTCAGGTTTAACCTTGATTGCCCATACCTGAGAACCACCTGCACAAATCCCTGGGTGTTGGTTGTGAGGGGGGCATCAAGCAGGACTGCCAGCACTGGATTTGCTAGCTGGGAAGTTCCTTTCGGCACAGTGCCATGCAGTGGGGTTGCTGGGGCTGCAAGCTTGTGCCAGTCCTGGCAGCTGTTCAGTCATGGTGCTGAGCTCTATTGCCTGTGCCTGGCTTTGTCTTGCTCAGAGGGTGAGAAGTGGGATGGGAAGTCACTGAGTGAAAAGAAGTTCAAAGTAGTTTATCATTAGGCTGAGCTGCCTTAGTAATTTGAATAGTAAAAAGAGAGGACCAGTGTAAGGGAATATGAATGCAAATGCTGTTGGTTCTTACCTTTTTTTCTCAGATCTGAGCACAGGGAAATATTTTAGCTGTCAAATGGAGGTCAGTAAGTAGAGGGACAATGAGAGAGCAAGAAATAATACTTTTCATCAATGTAAGTCAACCCACATTGTTCATGGCAGTACCAGCATGTTATTTCTTACATCTGGGGGAAGGGGAGGAGGGGGAAGGTAGGGGTATATTTCCCTTCTGAAACATTGAGGTTTTCCCTTTCTTCTTCTCTAAACCCCTTGCTATGACACCAAGAACAGTGGGGTAGGTAGGCACCAACCCTTGTATCTATTCAGTGCATGTTTTTATTTGTCCTTGCAGGTCACTGTACAGTAAGTTCAGGACCTAGAAGGGGGACTCCTGCATAGCTGAATGCAGGAAACCTGGTAGTTTGCTATCTCCTTCCCTTTCTCCTTGCCTTTCTTGCTGTCCATTTTAAGACTGGCTCATGCCCTGCATGAAAGTGCAGTGCCTTTTCCTACATTGGGCCAGTTAGTCTGGGCTTATTCCAGTCATGATGAGAATCTTGTACTGTGGTACTGAACCAACAACGTATGCATAGTGAGGCTAGTCTGCATGTGGGGTGTGAGCCCGGTATTTTCTAAGTGTGGGCATGCTGAGCATATGCTACCCAGCCATCTGCTTGTATTGTTCCTCTGGCTCCTGAGATAGAGATCGAGATCTTACTGGGGGCTGGCTGCTGCCAAATGATTTATTCAGCCCGCAGCTCTCTCCAGAAGAAACATTAGGGAGGTGAGTCGCTACAGGTGGGCTGTAGAACACACTGTCACAGAGGCCATGTTATCACACATCCTTGTGTCCTAAGGATCTCATAGCCTTGGAGTTCAGGGGCATCCCAAACTGTCTATCTCTTCAAGCAGGTAGCCCAGAACAGGGAGAGCCTTGAGCTCCTTTGGTCTCATTGTCTTGGTCCGACTCTCTCACTAACCTGGTTGCATTAGGTGGGGTCCCTGTAGCAACTGCAGTGCCTCTAGGCAGGGTCTTTTACTGTACTGGGCATCAACATGTACTGTTCATGCCTGGTACAGTGATGGGCATCTCCACTCTTACAAGTCATTTCTGTTAGGCATTGCTGGTACCAGGTGTGTGTGCCTAGGCTCCCATCTCAGCACAAGGAGTTTTTCTCCATGTGTTGCACCATGTCCCCCAGCTGTTCTTAACTCTCCTGCCTTAGGGCCCTAGGATGGGAGTCCTTGATTCTGCTTCCACCATCAGGGAATTGAAGTAATGTGAGTGGGATTGAATTTCTTCCTGGGTTGTGCCATTGGTTTTGTCTTTTTTCTTCTCCTCTGAGCTTGAACACATTAAAGATGAGACTAAGACAGTTGCAATAAGCATAAAGCTCTCATACTTTTCAAGCCATCACTTGGGAATCTGCTGTTGTGCTGTGTATGGCATGTAGTTTGTGGGCAGTTAATTGAGCATGTTAGCTTTGACTAACATGTTTTACTTAAGAATTACAACAGGCTTGGAGCCTGCTGGGCAGCTGCTGATAACCTGCTTGTCTTTAATTGTGCAAATATATCCTCAGATATTTCAAAATACACCTGGGTGATGAAGGGGTGGAAAGGAAGGTATGTACACGGTATGTGTATACATGTATGCATACAGTTATACAGTTACAATTTCTTCTATTGACAAAACCTTATATAGACACTGAAATACATGAATCTAAGCAAGATTTGTCTTTTGTATCAGGCTGTTGCAAATGGGGATACTTGCAAAGGGAAGTTTCGAATAGTGGTAATTGTCAGCCTCTCTCTCTGCTCTCTAAAGCTACAGAAGAGAAGTGATTGACCAGTTTTGTTACTCAAAGCATTTCCCTTAACAGCTGAATCCTGTGGGAGATTCCTCTTAAAGCAGCTTTGCTCTGCAGTGGACTCTCCTGACAAGATCACAGGCTGCTTTTGACCAGACTATACCTGGGCTTAGAGTGACTGTCACTTTGCTGACATTACAGATGCCAGGTTTTGTTGCAAACTGTTTTGCCTCTGGCCTGTAATTGGGATCCTGGCTGCTGGTCAGCTTCATTGGACCTGCTTATGTGGCCTTGTCATAGGCTGGGAGGTGACGGGTGCCTGCTCAACACACAAGTGCTTAAGTTTCTCCTGTCATCGCTGCATGCTGCTGCACTCATAGTTGCAACTGGCTTGCTATGTCCTTACAGCCTGTGAGGCTATGTGCTGTGGATGGTGCCTTGGCAGTTGTAAAACAGACCAAGCTTGATTTACTTGGGTGCAGAGCAGCTATTTGCTCTAGTTTTAGAGAAGCTGGTGGGATGTTCCTTGTTTATTGCCTCTCTTTAGGTGGAGACAGCCAGTCCATAGAAGCTGACTGACTAGGAGTTGTGGTATTCAGGCAGGATGGTGATGCGATCTATTAATTTTTCCTCTTTTGTTGTTTTCTTCTGCATTCCAGGAAGGGTGCTTGTGGCCTTCAGAAAGCTCAGTTTCACGCCAGGGTGCTTCAGAGGTACAGATTTCTTACCATCTTCACCAATGTGCTTTCCTCGTTACTGTAATATATATTTTGTTCCTTTCAGAAACATCAGTATATTTAGCAAATAAAGCTTTTTTTGGTGTAGATCAAAAGCAGGTTTCATGTGGACAACTGAACCTGCCTTAACTCCCATTCCATAAATGTCTAAGGCTTTTCATTAAAAGAACAGAATTCTGCCTACCTGGCATCTCATCTCCATCATTACCTCCCTGTATCATAGTAGCCATTCACAGGTAAGTGATAGAGGTGTGTTTTTTTCTCTCATGCAGTGGCTCCGTGATTGAGTATTCAATGGAAGCTGGGAGACCAGTTTATCTTCTCCCTGATTTTTTCTTGGATTTACTACCCATATCCTATCACCAGTGCCTCCCATCTTCTAGCTAGCACAGATCTCTGGTCTGTGTGATAATTTGTGGGTGTATTGCTCTGAGTGGTGCAGGTCTCCTGTGATAAACAGCAGACTTCCTGACATCTGTAAAGGTCAGGGACTAAAGATCCTGCATGGATCCAGAAATGAGAAGAGCAGTTTGAAAGATCTGAATCTAAGAAGCTGATGTGTCTGTCTAGATCTGGGATGGATCAAGTGAGGAGCAATAGCTCCTTACGGAGTATCTTGAACTCTTCCTTTTGTAAAGCTGGACCTTCTCCAGGGCTTGGTATGCCAGGGAGATTTTTTGCACTCTCAATGCAGCAGCCTCATAGGCCCTCCCTGGAGGCTGAATTCTGGCTGAGAGCTGAGGGGAAGAAGGACACCTGATGCACTCTGGTGGTGAAGGCGTGAGATATGCTGGGCCTTTATAAAATATACTAAAATGACCGTCTGAATTCTTTGGTCATGCAGGATATTACATTAACTCTGAGTGGGAGAGGCAGGTTCAGACTGCAGCTGAAATTCAGCACTGGGACATTTTTGTAGAACTAGTCAATTGTCAAGACTAGAGAGAATGTGTTTCCTATGTTCAGAAACAGAATCATTTTCTCTTGGCTGTGCATGTTTTAATGTCAGATGGAGCTGTGTTGTGTCTCCTTTTTCATTCATGAAGCTCTTCTCAAGTATCATGTGTTAGATCCTTCCTGTAACTCCTACCTCTTATTTTCACGTACATGCACGTGGTAGCACGTGCGCACTGGGCTTAATCTCTGAGATCGATGTCAAAGGGAAACATTTTGCATTTTGCCAGTTCTTGGTTGATATGGAGCACCCACAGTGCTTTGGTCAGATGTGGAGTCACGTGTGTCTCTTCCCGTTTCAGATCATGTATGCTCCAAGGTCCAGGGACAGGTTTACTGCCCCATCTTTTATGCAGCGGGACCGTTTCAGTCGTTTCCAGCCCACTTACCCATACATGCAGCATGAGATTGACCTTCCTCCGACCATCTCCCTCTCTGATGGAGAAGAGCCTCCACCATACCAAGGCCCATGCACCCTGCAGCTCCGGGACCCAGAACAGCAGATGGAGCTCAACCGGGAATCCGTCAGGGCACCACCCAACCGAACCATTTTTGATAGCGACTTGATAGACATCTCCATGTACAGTGGGGGCCCCTGCCCACCAAGCAGCAATTCGGGCATAAGTGCAACCAACTATAGCAGTAATGGAAGGATGGAAGGACCACCCCCGACGTACAGCGAGGTCATGGGGCATTACCCGGGCTCTTCTTTTTTCCATCACCAGCACAGCAACATGCCTTCTTCCTCGCAGAGGGGGAGCAGACTTCAGTTTCAGCCGAACAATTCAGAGAGCACAATAGTCCCCAGCAAAGGCCAAGACCGGAAACCAGGAAACCTGGTCTAAAAGTTACTCATAAGCCCAGGTGCATTTGAACTGAAGACAAGAGTTTGAAGCAGGGCGGTGGAGGAAGATCCCCCATGCTCCGGTGCACAATGTTGTTGCGTTTCACGTGGTACAACTTAGTAAAACCAAACGTGCAAACCAGTTCTTTGTTTCTGATTCCTTTCAGGGGAATTGCATGCAAAGCAGATTGAAAGAAATACAAACTTCCATTCAGTTTGTCTATGAGCAGTGTTTCAGGGGAGAGGGGGGGATATATTATTTTTTTTTAATAAACTATTTCAATTATTTAATTCTAAAAGTTAACTTAGCACAGAAATAAGGCTTGTACAGCCTGTTTTATACTCACTGAATGGCAGAAAAAAGAAGGTGGTTTTGCCAGCAAAATGGGGGAAGGATTGGCCAGTTTGCTTTTTTTTTCTCCCAGGGTGTGGATTTTTTTTTTAAATATGAAACAAAATTCCTGTTTTGTGTGCCAAGGTATAAAGTTGAGAACTTAGATGAATGCAAGGAATTAATTTGTGTTGTGATAAATGTGTTTTAAAAAGTTGCACTATCTTAATGTTTAAAACAAAATATATAAGAGGGAACTGTTTTATGTGAAGTTCTTCTATATGTTGTCTTTTCACCTGTGGAATAATGATAGACCCTCAGAATTAATCTGGAGGAGTTTGCCCCCCTCCCCCTGGGTTTGCTAGAAAGAGGGGACAGGACTTAGCCTAACATCTCTTGACTTTTACAAATCAAGAAATACAGGGACACTTGTCTTTGCAATAAGTTGCATTCAGATAACAGTGCATCAATGAAGTGTCTTGGAGACTTTTGAATGGAAGAAGGCGAATACGAAATCCCAGCGTTTTCCATCACTTCGGGTTTAGCTGTTTTGCAGTGTAGACTATTTGTTTCCTAAATGGCAAAACAAAATCCCAGATGTGTTACTTTGTATTGATTCTAACTAAGTGCTGCCATTCTTTTCATAATGCGGTATTGCCAGTACTTACAGTTTTAGAGATTTTTGTCCTCACTGTAGCCTGAAATGTATTTAGTCACATATCATGACATTATGCAATAAATTGTTTAAAAATGCAGGGTGGGATTTTCCCCCCTGTGATGCTGTTGAAATACGTGAGACTCCATTGTGCTTTTTGCTCTCCATTTCATCCTTTGGATACTGAAGTTCAGTCCCGGAGATCCATCCTGTTGAAGTGAAGGGGCCTTTGTAGCTGTAACTGCTGTTTCCGCAGCAGTACTGAGAGAGCACTTATGAGAGTGACACTGGCTTCTGCAGCATCCCTGACTGATGTGGGAGCACTGGTTACTCTCACTGTAAACTGTTTTGCTCTGCACCCTGTTGCGGAAACCCTTCTTGCTCGGTGCATGTCAGGCGGCTGACACCAGCAGGACTCCGCTCGCAGCTAAAGATGACTCACGTATTAACCAAGTGTCTGTAAGCCCTAGGTTTACCATGCTGGTCTTAAGCGTAGTTGGAAAACGTTACCTGCTTGTGAAGTGGCAAGTGGAGTATCTCCTCCTTGGCTGTTCCTGTGCAGAGGCACACACAGCGCTGGAAGGCAGTTGACAAATGGTGGTAGTGGCATCACAAGCACATGAAAAAGCACAACTTGCACTTAAAATGCATTTTGGAAATGGACTTAAAGTAAGAACCTTTAGAGTTTTAGCTTGGATAGTTTCTAATATGTATGTGTATGGGTGCGTCACAGACCTTTTCACTTTAAGATCTTTCACTTTTTTCTATTTTCTTAAGCCTTGTGCTTGGTTTGGGGCAGCAGCCAAGTGCCCTGAGGGCTGTGGAGAGGAGCGCCGTGCCCTAGCGCCTGGTCCCATGGCTGGAGGCTGGATTTCTGCAGGACTTCTGAACACTGGGGGCTCTGATAACTGAAGTGCATCTTTGATCTATGCAGAGTTTTAATGCCAAAACAGTGTGTGTGTCTGTGTGTGTGCTTTGTGGACCTCAGTATAGATTATGTTCTTCATAAAGTAATTTGGTTTTAGTCTAGTTTAGAAAATGTTTGTGTAATTTTTAGTCTGAATATGCAGCCTCATTTGAGTCTGTAATTGTGGTTTTGTTTTTGTCTGAGTCATGCTGGTAATGCAGAGTGAAGCTGCCTTTTAATTTATGTGTTATTTGAAGGGAGGGAGAGAAAGATTCTATGATGGGATTCGCTTTGTTGGTTTCTTTTTCCACTCAGACCCACAGGACAGATGTTTAGGAGATGACTAGGTGGCTGTCTGTCAGCTAGGGCTCTCATCACGTCTGCTTCCTGGGAGTAAAAGCTGTGAAATCAGACTTTTGCAAGCAACCTATGTGCATAATTCTTAGTTAAAAAACAAAGCAAAGCAAAAGAGCAGTCCACAGATACACAGGAGACAAAACCAGCAAGTGTTGGTTTTGGTCTTCAGTGACTTTTGTTGTCCTTAAGCCAGAGAGTGTGTGTGCCCACACAGATACTGTGCTCTTCCCTAAATGAGAATTATTTAGCTGAGAAGCCTTCAGGCGAGAGCAGCTGGAACTCAGTTGTCGTGGCAGAGCACACCTGGACTTGGACCTGTTGAGTACCAACATTTCCCCATCTCAGTCAAGTAAACTTTGAAGTTGCCTTCAAAGTCACCTCTTGGGAACACGCTTTTTCTTTGAAGACAGTCCTTTCCATGTTTTACCATCTCTGCATGCCAGTGGATTTACGCGCTTCCCATTGCCATTGTCTGGTATGATGCATGCACCGTTGTTTCTTGACTGAGGAAATTTTTCTTTGCATGGAAAACATAACCTGTTCCAGCTTTGTAGAAAAGATTTGTGTAAAAATAACTTGGTATTTGTTCACCTGATGGTCATCTTTCCTCATGTATCTTTGCCTTCTCATCGTGTTCTGCTGTCCAAAGTTAATATGCAGCCAGTATACCTGCCAGCTCTGAAAGTGTATTCACCTGTTGCTTGCTCTAGGTGAGCTTGAAATCTGCTGTTTTTGTTGTGGGGCCTCTTATAGGACTAAATATGGTATTTTCTGATGAATATTGGTGATCTCTGATGGGAGTGCCATCAATAGTATAACATTGCAACAGTGTATGTTTGTCTACTTCTGTTGCAGTAAGAGAGAATATGCCCTTGCTAACAGAACAAAATGGTAAAGAAAGGAATTAGATACCACTGTCAGTCTTTACAAGCTTAGAAATTGGTATTCTCTGGAGATAGGTAATTCTGTGAAGTATTTATGGAAAACTCCCTTGGAAAATACCCAGGATTACGAAACTGTATTGCATAGCCACTCAGATGGAGCTTTGTAAATCATGAGAGATTTCTGTAGACATTGTAGAGTTAATCATGTAGAGTATACCTCCATACTGGTTTATGTGTTTCCTACACCAAACCCAGATATACGTATGCGGGGTTTTCTGTGTGATGGATCATATTAACCTGAACTCTAGTTGGATCTCCTGACCTTTGCCCAGTAACCCAGCTTCCCAAAATTCAGTCTAGTGATGTCCCCATGATGTGACTTCATTACAGCATGTTTTTTCCTCGTAAATTTGAACACTCAGAGGCATGCCCCAGGTATAAGGTCTTGATGGCTAGTGAGGAAGGCATTTAGGTTCCTGCAGTCATGGAATCTGCAGGAACCGTGGGTCAAGCTGTACTTCATTTGGCTTTTATTATTAGTTATAGATACTTCTCTCACCAATTTGTCCCAGCTGGAAGCTGCTGCTGTTATTCCAGATCTCTGAGTTTTTGTGTTGCAATAGGGAAGAAAGCCTTGTCCTGATGGAGAGTTCCGGGCATAGGCTGTCTGGAACAGCACTGTCTGAAGTGGTCATTTCTAACCCTGCCAGGTAGTAAGATACTGGACCTTAAAACTGATGCTCTGATCTATAAGGAATATTTGAATGGTTGGAGAAGATGGATTACTAACCTTTCTCTGACTTTGAGCCCTGAATGCTCGTGGTAACTAAGGTAACCTGATTTCATAGGCAAAGAGAAAGAAAATAGTATGCAGGTGAAAATAGATTACGCTCCAGAATTGTTCTCTGCTTTTGTTTTTATTTCCTTTGTTTCCTTCCCTCAAGGATAAACAACAGGCTTGTTGGTACATTTGAAGGCATTTAGGATTATTCACAAGTTCTCTCTGGTCATTACCATTAAGTCATGTCCATGCACATGTGAGTGTATGCATACCAACATGTAAACTTATGTCTGTATCCTACTCCTTGATTATTTAGATACTATTTACTATTCCATAATCACATTTCAGAAGCGCTAAATGGCTGTATATTGTGTTCTCAGGAACAGGTCATTTGTCAAACAACTGGAGGCATGAGGAATATTTGCTTTTCAGTCCTGTAAATGTCAAGGCCCTGTTTTTATCAGTAGGGTTGTTCCTTGCTGCACAAATTCTTGTCTGTTTGTGCTTGTGCATCTTCCAGCCAGCAGCTCTCTCCTTTTGGGTGAGCTTTGAAAAGGCCTCATGCTTTTGGGACAAACCTAATGTAGACCTCATGTACTGATGCGCAGGAAGGAAGTGTACTTCATGTACTCTGCATCTCGGAAGCATGTATTTTCAAACTAAGTGATGCTGAGAACCAAGTGATCCATTTCTACAGTGGGTTCAAATGAAGGCTGGCTTGTGATTACATCTTTGCTTTTTAGATGAAGTCTGTTGCAGGTAATTTAATTGCACATTATATGGTCTTGCTCCACACTGTGTTGCCTGCTTGCCAACCAGTTCAGTTACAACTTTTCTCCTCAAGTATCCCCAGATGTGTCAGTCATTTAAATCCCTGAATTGTCTGAGACCTGTTGAGGCCCTTTGGAGCACGGAAAAATCCCTTGTGAGGACATGTTGAACTTAGAGGTTTCCTGTCCGAAGGCTCTGTGTGTTTTGTTAAGATATTGAAGTTTAAAGTTTTGAGAGAGAGTGGCCCAACTGCAGATGGTTGGTAAGGTTGGCTTTTTAATCCTTAGTATATTGTTTGCCTGTCTGTGCTGATTAATCAGGAGCTTAAACTACCTTTTGATCCACCTCTCATTGCCATTGCTATGCCGGCAAATGGCCTACTGGGCACACTTGCACTAGCAAAATAGAGCGATTCTCTTGGTATGGCTCCACCTGGGGAGTTAGCAGGAGCTGCACTGTTAAGTTCAGCCTCCAAAACCAACACCAGACCTGCACTGTCTCTTCCCAGCAAGCTCAGTTTTGATGAAGTGCTTTACCGCGCTTGTAAGTACCGCAGACATGCAGTGGCGGAGTGTTTCCTTGAAGTCACAACTAGTTGCGTTAGATGTGTCAGGGCTGCTAATGCCATTCTCGTAACCACTTTCTACATGTCTCCTGCTTTCGAAAGGGAAAACCAAGAATGGTTTTGTCTTGAGAAGTGTTGCAAACTCTCCTGGCTCTTCCTTCCGCCTTGCTGTAGTCTCTTCCAGTTTTAGACTGAACACAAGCAACCTGGGTATTGCTAGCACCGCTTTGCTGCTAGAAAAGAGCATACCTTTTTATGTTGGCTATTGATAAAGAAGCACATAACCTATATTCTTTCCCCTTCCCTCTGACAGCCGTGTGATTTACTGCCAGAGGTGACTGTAATTTCTTTGCTATATTGCTGTTGCTGCTGCTGTTTTAAATGGTTTGGTGCGTGAGCTTTCTGGAACAACGTGGTGTGTGTAGGATCTTGTGGATAATGAAGCTGTCTCTTCTTCCTTTCTCTCCTTGGTTTGTGCTCGTCTGTCTGCCATGGTAGGTTTATTAATAAATTATATATGTCCGTATTAGCTATAATTTTGAGGAGGTTTGCATGTCAGTAGTTTGTAAGCAACTAAGGTGCCTCATGTACAGGTCTGAGCAGATAGGAATCCCCTTGCACTCTAGAGGGCCTGCTCCAAAGCCTGGTGAAGTTGGTAGGAAGACTTGCTGACTTCAGGGGGCTTTGGGTCAGGCCTTATGCTCCCACCTTTGTTGTGCCTCACTTAAAATGGTGCTTTTTCAGTTGTCTGTCTTTTTTTTCTAGTTCTTGGTTGATTTTTTTTTTTTCTTTGTATGGTGCTGTGTATAACTTGAATATATTATGCACATATCCTACCCAATGGGTAGAACAAACAAACATACAAAACAAA